TAAATGTCAAGGGGAACCTTTACCTTTTTAATATAATACTAAATACTGTAATACATATTACAACTTAAGAGTAACTTTTTTATTATTAGTTACATTACTTCTTTGCAAAAAAAATTTCCCGGTTTTAGGCAACAGAATTAATTGTAACTGATTGCTTTCAAGCTTTGTTCAAAGTCAAGTTCAAAGCAAAGCTAAGAAGAGCGGTGGCATATTATTAACCTGAAATTTCATTGTTTCTGGTACTACAGTTATAACCGGCTGTTGTTCTTAAAAGGCCCTTTTTGTTTCCCTGCCCTAATAGGCTTCATCACACTAAACGAGTGGGCAAAAGCTGTGGAGTCAGTCCTTCAATTGGGTTTGCCCTGGAGGATGCTGAAGTCCCAGCTCGTGTTGCATCTTACTCATGGGAAGCTGGAATATAAGACGTGGCTGAAAGAAATAGTGACAGAGCAGTGGTCTTCAGCTCAAGAGGTAAATCTATGGAATATTTCTTGGGGTTGCAGTTTTAAACTAAAAAAAAACAGGTGAGCAATGCTTTATTCATTGGACGACTAAAATCTTGAAAAGAAATAAGTTGTTGAGGCCCTTCATTAGACCAGGCGTGGCAGAACCTGAAAGAGTGTGGAAAGAAACACACAAATCCTAAAATTATCGTCATCCGGTATCTCATTGTCAGGGTCTGAGTTGAATTGTTGTGTCCAGATGGAGGCTTCAAACACGTTGCATCCGCTTTAGGCGTCTGGTTTCACTTCAGGCAAAACAGGCTGTCCTTCCCTCATCTCTTTAGAAAAAGGACTGCCACTCGTCCTGCATTCTCTATGTAGCATTTGATGCCTCTAGCCTTTGTTTGGCTAGTAGCAGACGCATACAGAGACATGGCAACCATCCCATCCAAAGAACTGGAGACTGAACAGTGAACCGATGAGGCCAAAGATGTCGGTTGAAGCCAACTTAAAAGGAAGACTAAACGGAAAAGTTATTGCATTTGGCTTTCAGGTTATAGAACGGATCCAGTTATAGATAGGGTCCCATTTTTCAGTTGCTTCTACACACACAATAATTTTTAATGTAATCATATGTTTAAGTACATAGGGATGTGGTGGCGCTGCGGGTTAAACCGCAGAAGCCTCTGTGCTGCAAGGTTAGAAGACCAAGCAGTCTTAAGATCGAGTCCACACGATGGAGTGAGCTCCTGTTGCTTGTCCCAGCTCCTGCCAACCTAGCCGTTCGAAAGCATGCAAATACAAGTAGATGCCCGTATTTTTCGCTCCATAAGACGCACCTTTCCATAAGACACACCAATTTTTTAGGAGAAGAAAACAGGAAAATATAATCTGTTTTCTTCGCTCCATAAGACGCACAGACTTTCCACCCCCCTGTTTTGTGGGAAAAAAGTGCGTCTTATGGTGCAAAAAATACGGTAAATAGGTACCACCTCGGTAGGAAGGTATCGGCGTTCCGTGTTTAGTTGTGCTGGCCACCTGACCACGGAAACTGTCTACGGCTTACAGAAGGGGATGAGCACCACATCCTAGAGTCTGACACGACTGGAGTAAATGTCAAGGGGAACCTTTACCTTTCTATGTTTAAGTACAATGATATGCAATCAGGTATGGCATAATATACTACTACTTCTTTCTTCCAGCGGCTACACTCAAGTTTGCTAGAGAACATTTACCGAAACCTATCAAACTTGGAAACGATCTTCAATATCATAGACAGTGACCACTCAGGTAAAAAGCCATTAATTTTCTGCTACCCATGTAAGTCTGTATAGCAGGCAAAGAGATTGCTACTGTAATAAGAAACAATCAAAATCAGGTCTGCATGCACTAGTTTTGTTGCAAGTCTGAAGGATGTAGCAAGTTGTAGATTAGCAAATGTTTTATTTAGGGCTCTCTTTGCCCCCTTTTGAATAAACAAAGGGTGTTGTTGTTTTTTCTTGTTCCACAGGCTATATCTCTCTTGAAGAGTTCCAGCAGATCTGGAAGTTGTTCAGCACCCACATGAATATTGAAATCTCAGAACAAAACATCAATGACTTGGCTCGCAGTATTGATTTCAACAGAGACGGAAACATAGATTTCAATGAGTTCATCGAGGCCTTCCGTCTTGTTACACAGTCGCCCGATGGAGGAAAATGAAGGCGAAATCTGCGGGTGGGGGACGTTCCACCATGTGGAACGCCATCCTGCTTCTGAGACGTTGCTTCTGCACTTGGGCCAATCATCCAACCCAATAACGTGCCTCTGAACGAAGTGAAAAGGGCAAATGAATCCTTGCACACACCTAAGTGTTCCGAATAGCCGATTGCTACAGCTGTTTTCACGTTTCTGGTATCAAACAGGACTGGACGCTCAAAAACCTTGTTCCATCTCCGGCTTGGCTTTTAATATTAATTAAATCAGCACAGTATCTTTTTAAGCTTTTAAAAACTCAGAAGAGTTTTCAGAATTAGAATGTATTTTTATGTCAGCATTTTATCTGGTTTTAAAACTACACGATTATCAACCAGGTCTCATTTTCTAGGGTTTGTTTTGTTTTTTTTGGTTGGTGTTTCTATAATAGCTACGATACAGCCAAAACAAAGCATTTGGTGCAAATCAGGAAATTCATTTTAAAACTCCATAATGAATTTTGAGGGCTAGCAGAAAAGTGAAGTATTATTGAGTAAGGTATTTTGATTGACTTATCAGAGGTGCCTATGACCAGACAGACTTTTAATTAAAAAAATATTTCTATAATAAGTGCATACAACCTCACGGATCGGATACCTCTTCTACGGTAACAGCTGGTGTGATGCTGTTGTGCATTAGCTAAAAACAAAAAAAGCCTTTTCTTCAAAATTGTTTTATTTTTTTATGCAGGTATACAGTACACTCCTAAGGTACTTAAGAGTAATGTCTTAAGGGCAGCAGAAAAGGTGACATATTTCCCCCCCAAGATCAGACAGAGCTCTGCCTTCCAGGAGAATATCAGATTTTAGCTCCTTCCTATGTTCTTGCACAGAGGCTCATAACCTCCAGAGCCCTGATCTATCAAATGGCAAGCAAGGCTCAGTAAACCTTTCAGTGCAGAATTGTTCCCCAACTAACAACAACAACAACAAAAATAAGTAGACTTGCAATAGTTATACCAATTCCCTCTCCCACTGCAAGCAGTGGGAGAAGAAGAGTTGTATTTAGACTAAGAATACCTGACCAACCCAGCCTCACCCTGTGCTCTCCCCTAGAAAACCAGACATGGGAGGGCTGGGAAGCTCGTGAGCGTCAACGGGGCATGGAAAAAGAAGTTCCATCATACCAGGAGAGGTTGGCTCACCCAACAGCAGCCATGGTATTCAGCTTCAAAGGCGTACCTTTGGAGCGGTGTTCCTGTGCAAATGTTGTAAGTTACAACACGTGTGAGGGAAAAGCTCAGTTTGTGTGTGATCAACATATTCATGATGACAAGACGTGAAGCTGGTGTCTTGCCGGATCAAAAACACTGAACTAAGCAGGCTGCTTTGCTAGTCTGACAAAACTGCTCTCCTTCCTTCCCGCCCTGCAAAGTTTATGAAACCGGCTTTTCTTTCTGGGAAAGCAGCTGTTGCTATCAAAGATTAGGCATCCTTCAGTCTCGAGTAGGGTTGCCAGATACATGGGTACTAAAGGAGGACATAGAAAGACATATTGAATGTTTCATTTGAATCATTCCAGATTAAAGGTAAAGGTAAAGGTTCCCCTTGACAATTTTTGTCCAGTCGTGTCCGACTCTGGGGGCGGCGCTCATCCCGCTCTTCAAGCCATAGAGCCAGCGTTTGTCCGAAGACAATCTTCCGTGGTCACATGGCCAGTGTGATTTAGACACGGAACGCTGTTTACCTTCCCACCGAGATGGTACCTATTTATCTACTCGCATTTGCATGCTTTCGAACCGCTAGGTTGGCGGGAGCTGGGACAAGCAACGGGCGCTCACTCCGTCGCGTGGATTCAATCTTACGACTGCTTGGTCTTCTGACCCTGCAGCACAGGCTTCTGCGGTTTAGCCCACAGCGCCACCACGT